TTTTTTCTGATGTTATGTAGCATGAACTGAACTAATGTAGCTGATGTTAACATAGAGTGTAATAATAGGGAAATATAACCATGCTAGTCTTGTCCTGTAAGCAACTTAAAAACTCCAATTTGTATCCTTCTGCTTGACATAAGTGAATGAACTCTGCATAGCCCTTATGTATGAGTGTGTGTAAAAGGGTAAATGGTGAAAGAATGGCATAGAGATGGAAGAAGATTTAACTGTTTATGTAAGCAACAAGGTGCCAAATGTAAGTTACCAGTCAGTAAACTAATTAATGAATGGCTGAAGAATCCGTTTTAAGACTAGTGCACAAAGAAGATAACAATGTGAAGGAATGTACCTCCCTGCCAGATGGGCAACAAGAACACTCCAAGGCTAAGATAAGCTGAAAACAAAAGAAGAACAAACACAAAACCAGAAGCTGGGTGTGGAAAAACCCCAAAGCGCTGAAACAAAGGATGCCAATCCCTATAAAAGAACACTTTGAAAATGCCAAGTTTGGCGAGTCTCTTTCTCTACTGATGTTTCATCGGAGCACAGATGCATCTATTCACCCCACTCCAGCTGTTATCTTCAAATCTGCTATCTTCAAATCATCGTCATCTACTTAATAAGCCCGGGTTGGCCACCCTGGGCTGATACTGAGCAACTATTGCTGGTAACTATATCTGGTGTATGTGTGGATGAAATGGTTGTTTTGTGTATGTGTAAGCCTGTGTATAATGATGTATATGATGCTTTGCATGTGTTTGTATGAATGGTGTGCCCGAACCTCTATGTCTAACTCATGTAATCAAAAAACACGGCACCTTGCCTTATCCCCCTTTATAAAGTCTTGCTCGTGATTTGAGCAATTGGCAATTTGAGTAACAGTTACTGCTCATTGGTCTTGTATAGATGTTCCCACCATCACCCAGGTTGCCTTCCACCCTCACATTCTCAATCAATCCCTCCCTATTTATGAGCAGCAAGTCGAGAGGGGATTCTCCTCTAGTGGCCTATCTATCATCTGTATCCCCAGCACTCCAAGAATTTGTTAGGTTGCTTGTGCACTGCTGTGTTTCCTTCCCAGCAGATGTCCTGATAATTCATGTCCCTCATCAGAACCAAATCCTGCCATTTGGAGGCCTCTGTCAATTATTTAAAGAAGGCCTTATCCATCTTCTCCTCCTAGTTTGGTGGCCTGTAGTGGATGCCCATCATAACATCCCTCTGTTGCTCTCTCTTCTGACCTTCATCCAGAGGCTTTCAATAGGCCTACCTTCCACTTCATGCTGAACCAATGAATATCACCTTTATATATACAGCAACACTTCCGCTTTTTTCCCATCTATCCTTCCTGAACAAGCTACACCCACCCATGACTGTCCTCCAAACATATGAACTATCCCACCATCTCTCTGTAATCCCTATTACATCATAACTCTGTGCTTGTACCTGTACTTCCAGTTCTTCCTGCTTGTTCCCCATGCTTCTTGCATTAGTTTCATAGTTTCATAGTTGGTAGGGTCGGAAGGAACCTGAGCAGATCATCAAGTCTGACCCCCTGCCATGGACAGGAAAGAATGCTGGGGTCAAAAAACCCCGGCTAGGTGATTATCTAGCCTCCTTTTGAAGTCCCCCAGGGTAGGAGTGAGCACCACTTCCCTTGGAAGTTGGTTCCAGATCCTACCCACCCTGAATGTGAAGTAGCGCCTCCTGATATGTAGCCTGAATCTACTCTCAGTCAATTTATGGCTGTTATTCCTTGTTACTCCCAGTAGTGCTTGGTATATAAACACTCTGCATATCTAACTGATTGTCCTGTCTTCTCCTTGAGAGCATTACTAAGTTTTCTGCCATTGCTTCCCCATGAGTTTTAGTAAATTTTAATTGTTCCAAAATATCCATGTAGCTATTTCAACTCACAACTGAGCCAGTGAGCCTTAATCATAATATTAAGGATTAGCAGACACCAACAAGTACTAAGTAAAGAATACAGGTTTTCATGAAAGACACTTAGACAAAAGCATCCCTGGTATAATTTTAGTGAAGTCAATGGTGTTATAATAGGAATACATTTGCTATAATGAACACTTTTCACAAATTAACTCATCATAATATTTTGCTGTATTAACATAGCACGTTTATATTTTAAAGTACAACTTGTTTCTCATATAACTTACTGAAACAGGACTTCCCATGAAGCATGTGCTGAAAGAGCTTGCATAGAGGCTGTTCAGCTAATGGTACAGTATTACAGGAACACTCTACCCGAAGCATGGTACCCCAGTTGTCAATGTAAGCTGCTCTGCAGTCAGCACTTCCAGAGCAAGTCATATCATCCTTGATTAATGTTTCAAGACAAGCTTTATCTTCATAGCATCTTCTCGTAACATGCCTCCAGCACATTGACCAAAACATTTCATATTTTTTCCTGGAGGAAGCATAAGAATCATACAAGAAAAACTTTAATATATTATGATTAAGATAACATTATTCTTCAGTGACATCAAACGCAAGAGAAACTTACTTAACTTAAAATCAACAGAGAAAATGTAGCAATTTTAATCAGAATTTTTCCTATGCATGCCAGCTAAGTGACCTCAAAGGCAGCTACTTCCTTTACAAAATCCAGAGGAGAAAAAAGGAAAGGTTGACTTTTTTTTAATGGTATAAAAGGCCCTCATTTTAAATAACCCTTTCTCATATTTTTCAGGACTTGTTGTCCTATATCATTCTGAACAATCATGGCAGAAATTAGTGCATTTCAAATTATAGGAGCAGGCAATTAAAAACCCTTTCTGGTCATTAGATTCTATCCTCAGACAGGTACTATGAAGGATGCCAGATGGCCTTGACAAGGCACCTTTTGTCATCCCTATTGCAATAATCTATTATTTTGGAAGGCACAATGATACCCAACTGTATCAGTAGGTCAAAATTATGCTCTTATATACACGTCTCCAATATCAAGGATTGCATAGATGTATCTGAGGATAAAATCTGGGCTTTAAACAAGAATTTCTTTGTGCAAAATGAACTCTGGACCAACAGCAAAGACTTTCTTGGATCTAAGAACAGGTTTTAGTAACAACAGTCTAAGGAGAGACACCCACAGCAACAATATAGAATAATCAGACTGGACATCATAATGAAACAAGAACAAAAAGCTTTCTAGTGGGTGTGACAGGTGTGTAAAGTATGTAAGTGAGATAAATATGGGAGGAACAAACAGCAATTGACATGATTTGTTGCCTGACTAAATAACACCAAATGAGACGAGAGAAAGAACCCGAAGTAGAGTAAGAACAAATCAGCTACAGGTACAGTAACTGTAAAGCTATTAGAAGGGTGCTACTAATGACCATATCTAATGATTTGCAAGTAGCTATCTGGATTCCTTCCCAGTTCAATATTCCTGTATGCCAGCTTATTCTCCATGTAAGATAGGATAAATTTGGCCCTGATTGGCCATATTTAACAATAATAATAAATGTTAACTCCTTATCTAACATGACTGATGGAAAACTTTAGATATTAATGTGAAAGCTATATATCACTTCTACTAAATATAAGTGGATTGTAGGGGTAAATGGTTGTTGGGTCAGCTTCTAAACTCTCATGTACTGATCCATTAAAGTTTGGTATTCCATGATGATAATTTAGTCCTGAGATAGCATGGCTCTTATGAAGCAGTACACATAGGAAACAATCAACTTATAAAGTTCCATCTAGGACCCAATTACACAGAGGTTACTCAAGAAAAGGTTTCAAAGTAGCTGTCATCTCTGAGCTAATGGAAAAAAATGTCATTCAAGCTTGTAATTTATAGGTACAGCTAAACATAATTCAAAGCGTAATTTTGATAATTACCTCTACTTATTGTTAATGCTGGCAAACATTAATGCTCCCAGAATAAAGGTAATTCAGCAAGTCCCTCTTAAATATTATTTCCCATTAGAATCTTATATGTACACACACAAAGCCACATTTGTGGCACAGTTCAGCCTGGCATTAAAAAATGCAACTCGCATTGACGTCAATCTGAATTGCACTTGCTTACGCTGAACCTGAATGTGATCCTTGTTCTCTTGATTTGTTTACTGAAGGTAAATTTATAGTATGCTTGTAAGGTGAATTTCAGGTCTTGGCCAAAAGTGTTACATTACCCACACTGAAAACTGGTGCTCCAGTTGTGTTTCCAAGGCTAGTCTTACTTAAGCAGAGCTGTCTATAATAGCCAAACCTGCTATTCACTTGGATGTTTTCTGAATTAAAATCCAAATTTGTGTCACTTTCTATGAATGTGATTGTTTAAGAACGTGCTTCAATGCCTAGATTATTACTACCTACCTCATGTTTGAAGGAGAAAAGAAAAAGAAAGAAGTAAAGGGTTTTACTATTTAGGCAACTTTAGTTGCATAACAACCGGTAGCATGCAGGAGATTCCCTGGTAGAATGAATAACTTTCAACAAACAAACTTGTGCAGTCAGCTGCACAATTTGTACAAACCATTTGAGTACAAAGGTGCCATCCTGAGAATATTATTGAAAACCTTTAGGGATATTATTTGTTAAGCAGAAATTGTGTTATAGGTAATTACACACAAGTAGTAAAACCCACATTGAGTTTGCAGAGCTCAAGGTTAAAAAGAACCCTGCTTTTTATTTGCAAAATAAACATATTTGCTACAGGAATCATAAAGAGACATAAGGAATAGAACCTGCAATGCCATTTTAGTCATTTTTTTTCCAAGCAGAATTATGCTTTAAAAGAATTTCTGTTGTCTTGCCACATGAGAATAAATTAATATTTTAAAGTAAAAAGTGAAAACAATCCATGTAAGTATTATAGCTCACTAGCTACACCATAGTGCAAAATACATGTTCTATCTTTGTCTCCTCGATAGAATCAGAATTGCTCAATTGCTTGAGGTTGCTCTTTAATGCAAGTTATAGAACTGCATTTCTACAGCAAGTTGATCCAAGTTCAACACTGAAAGTCATTGTGAAGGTTGGATTATTCATCAAGTGTAATGACAGTTGACTAGAACTGTCCAGAAGATTTTTGTTATGAAGCTGTCAATTTTTCTGACTTACAAAGTACAGTTTAGACAACTATAACTTGGCAGACATAAGTGTTCTTAAACACCAGCTGTTATAGCATAGTTATCACAAAATCATGTTGTGATATGTGTAACAGTATATAGTGTATCATATGAGAAATTATATTGCATATATATAAAATCACTGGGCATGTGTAGATGAAATGGGGGCCCTAAATTGAAGCAGTGGGTTTTCAAATACACTGCTTTAAATTTAGGGCAAAGTAAACCCCAGTGTTGTGTACACCCGTGTCTTACCTGCCTCTCTGGCGGTGGGAGGAGAGGAAAAGCTGCTGGTAGGTGGACCAGACCCTGGGCTGCAGTGGGGGAAGGGCTGGTGCTTTCCTCTGTTGCAGCAGCACCCCCACCGCCCCCGGCGGCACCTGCCCACAGGCACCCAGCTTGGGTGGTCCTGGGGAGCACCACAGCCATGGAGGGAAGGACCAGTTCCCCGCACAGCGCATGCAGGTAGGCAGGCTCGAGTTGGGGGGAAGAAAAAAGATCAGGCTCACCACTTCTTTGTTTTTCCTTCAGTGGAGCCTGCCTTCCCAGGTTGCTGCCAGGCTGCCTACATGGACTTCCTGCACAGTCCCTGAGCCACATGGAGCCCGGTGCTTCACTCCACGGCTGGAGGTGTTTTAGTTTGCTGTGCCCCAAAGTCATTTAAGGCACATTACGCCACTGAATGTGCTAAAGTGGCTGGAATTAATGCACGATACGCTGTAGACGTGTGCAAACACCATTAAAGCAGTTCAAAAGCATTTAACCCACTTTAAAGTATTGTGCACATATGCCCCTCATTTCATCTACACACTATTTTTAATTTTATAGATAATTGTGTTACTAGCCAAATATTAATTCGTTTGTTTTGGTTTTTTTGCTTACCTGCATAATTCATTGTTTTGGCACTGGCGAATTATGCTTAGACATGAAGGAGGGGGCACTATGTTGACTGCACATGGCTTTCCATGAAGAAGTTCTTTAGCTTTTTGGCAAGATTTATCAAGCTGGGTACAGTCACAGAATGTCAACATCTGGGCAACATTAAAAGGCATATTTTGATAGAAGAACCTTATGGCTGCTTGACATTCTTTCATGTTGCACTTTTTATTCACTGAGCAAACTTTAAGGTACAGGGATAGCTGTCTGTTACACACTTCATCTTCAATACATTCCCTGTTTACATCCAAACATGTCCCATTCTCAGTGTGTTCTAAAAGGCACAATACAATGAAAAGAATCAGTTACATATAGACAATGAGCTATTAAGCATACTACTTGCTGGACTCCCATTGAAAACACTATGAAATCTCTGCTACAACCCCAGTATTCCTCCCAAATTAGACTCGCTTAATGCTGAACTTCTCCATCATTCCCTTCATCATGCCCACTGCACCATCTTCACTCTCCTATTTGCCACCACAGGCTCCTGCTAAGCAACTCTACAATTAGCTGCTGTGCATGGAGCAGCAGAGGGTAAAAGACAGGAAGGAGGAGCTTTTTATGGTTAAATGACTTCTAAAGTGCTGATGCTTTCTTAGGCTAAATAAATCAGACTTTAGTTTCTGAAAACCAAGAACTGCAAGCTGTATGACAGGCAATAGCCTGTGTGTGGAACTCCATTCTACTGTGATTAGATTGCTTCTGGTGCTCAGATATTTCTGAAGTATGTGCAGTCATTGAAGTTTAGATATTCCTAAATTTTGTCACTTTTGAGCACTGATCCAATGTATCTATAACATGCATACTTGCATCTGCCTTTCAGATAGCACAGAAGACTACAGAATTGAGCACCTGAGAGCTGTACAATAGCATCTAGGAGCTTACCTTTGCTAAAGACATCTGCCTCTATCTGGCCCACATGCCACACCTACAAAATGTTATAGGCCTCTAGTCCTATCCAGAAGATGTCATCTAACACTGTATTGTCACTTCCCCATATTAAATCTATAGACTGCTTTCATATCTCACCTCACTTCAAGTAAACCACAAGAAGTTCCTGCAATGACTTATAACAGGGTTTGAAAATCTAAGGTCCTTAGATTGTATCCAGATCATGGAGCCTTTGAATTTAGCCCATGAAGCAGTAGCTTCATCAGCATTCAGTAGTGGGGATCTTGGCCTACAGTATGTCACAACTGGGCACTGGGTGTTCTGGCAGAGAGGGGTCTCTGCTCACACCCTTCCACAGCTGGGTAGCAGGGGCTTCAGCAGAAGGGGAGCTCTACCAACACCAATCCACAGGCAGGCAGCCGGGAGAAGCAGCAGAGGTTGATGGGTCCTACCCCAGTGCTGGCCTACCTCAGATGTGAGCTAGGTCATTCTAGCCCACAACCAGAAAACAATTCCAACTGCTGACTTACAGAAGTTAGTACTAAAATGAGAAAAACTGGTACTCATGTCATTGATCATAGGGACGAATGTGGGGATGAGCAGATGGGCATGCTACGCTGTTCCAACTAATCCTTCTCTGTTCAACACAAGTATCACAGTGAATGCAATTAAAGAGTATAAAATAATTCAGTGACTGTTACTAGCTCAAGGGCAGCAGCATTAAGACTGTACTGTATGCATCTTAATTCTACATTTCCTTATTCTCAGAAGTTCAAGTACCTTAACCCTCTGATTCTGATGCCTAGGTGCTTGAATGTTGCTAAACATGCGTCTCTAGACCTGATGGACAAATCTTACCAGCAGGCAACCTTAATTCTGCAATAATACATTTGTCATTAAGCTATTTAGACTGAAATCTTGATTCTACTTTGCCAGTGATTTCACTGGAGCCATAATTATACCCATAGATCGTACTTCATGTCAGAGAATGACTTTGTTTATTGTACTTGTGACATGCCTTGCACTCTTTTGATAGTGTATAAAACCCCATTAAGGGTATTCACAATGCTGATTTCTTAACTTCATTATTGTTTCAAAGCACTCAAAACCTCATAAAATAAACCTAGTATCTCAAAGGATTGATTGTTTAGTTTCCAAGCAAAATAGAGTGTTGAGAAATTAACATTACTAAAAGGTTTATATTGAATAGCATCTAACAGTAACATTTTAATGGCAACCTTGAACTATTTCTTGGGTAATTTGTTACATAATCTTGATATCTAGGAGAATTAGACTAGGTCTCTATTTACTTCCATAAAGACCATAGGGATGACATTTACCAGGCTATTTACTTCTAAAAAGAGTGCAAGAGGAAAATTGTTCCTTGAAGAAAGTACTATCAGGAAAGGGGGCTAGATCTTGTTTGAGAGTTTGAAGGATCAACTGGAATGCAGTTTGCCAAATGAAATCTCAACAGCTTGGAGGGACTTTTCAAAATAACTCAGTTAAACTATGAATAAGCATTTATGCCCTCCTCATCATTTGAGGACAGTATTTCACTGTCCTCAGTGAAATCAATGGGAGTTTTACTTTTGACTTCAATGGCATTAGAATTTTTACTCCTTTGGGATCCTTGGCTATGCAAAAACTTAGCTGCAAACCATTTGAAGTTTACTAAATCCCAAATTTTAAGTTATTTTGAGTCTTGCCATTATTATTTAATCTATATGAAGCTGCATTTTTCATTGTTATAGGCTGGTAGAAAACACAGTAAATAAGAACTATAAATGAATATATAAAATGAGCCTTACCTTGTTTGGAAAGAGCAGATAAATTCCACTGTAATTTAATTTCCACGTTAATATTATCTAAAAGAAAAAATATGGGATATGCAGCATTAATAAATCCCCTGTGTCAACTGTGTTGTCAGTTTTAATGTACCACTTTATTGGCTGCCATGCTAGGAGCAGCTCAGAAAGAAAAGTAAAGAGAAAAAACAAATAAGATTGACCGAATAGAAATTGTCAATTTGTTTAGAAACCATAAAGACTTCATTATATTTACTTATAGATATTAAGGTGAATATGCACAGGAGCTTTCCTTTCCATTGCCAACACTACTACCCTGTTTATGAGTTTATGGTTTGTGATTATGGAAGTTCAGAAAGTCCTAGGTAAACCTGGGTCATGTGACAATCAAACTCTTTCATGAACAAATGAAAGCTTTTGAACCTACTGTTATGTATATATGGACCCCCCTTTAATAATCTTGCCCCTTAATAAATGCAAATAATATTACTGGTCTTTATTTATGTTATGTTTTAATACTATTATAGTAGTATTAATAATAGTACTGTATTAGTAGCATGAAAAGGCACTACTAGGCAGGATACGGATTCCTTTGGATTTGGTTCCATACAGACATATATGAAGACACAATTCCAAGCTATGTTTTCCCTGCTAATTGTTATGCTGTCAGATATTCACATGCATGTAAAAAGGTTCTCAAAATACTCTTTTTTCAAACTTCACTACAAATAAATAATGCAATATGTAAACTGCCCCAGAAACTTGACATGATAATGGATTCTCTATTCCTTAGTACAGCCTAGAGTTACAGCTATTTTGTTCCACTAAATAGCCTTCCCCGGTGGTCTTTTCATTATTTGGGATATGCACAGAAGTCTAAATCACTATTGAATCACTATTGAAATCTAATTCTAGATTGAAACATGATTTCTACTAAGATTTCATATTAAGCAGAATAGCATGACAAAACAATCTTAATCTTCTATTAAGATTTCAAATTAAGATTTCATATTGTAAGCAGAATAGCATGACAAAACATACTTCTAAAGCAGCACGAACCTGTATCAGTGTCCTGATCTCTCTCATCATCATAGTCTTCCTCATCAAAAGCTATATTCTCCTTTGCATCCTGTAGACAGGTGTTATTAAAGATGCTTTTCCATATTTTAGTACACCGTTTTTGAAGTGGCTCTGAACACCTGCAATTCCCTAAGACTGTTTTTCTCAGCTTCTTCCATGCAGACAAACATTGTTTCCCAACAACTTGGAGACTGCATTTTGCTACCTCTGCCCTGCATACCCTTCGGAAGTTCTTATACTCCACAAAGCAGTAGTGGTCATCGCGACAGCTTTGCTTTGCAATATTGCAGTCATTTTCTCGTTCACCTGTGTGTTTTATGTCTTTGTGCTTTGTGTGCAGCATGAAGTTTAACTGGATATCTGAATTTGCTGAAGGGTCCAAATGTTCTGGAAAAATAAATCTGAACTTAGATATACATTGCACATTTATCTTTTATGCAGCTCTAAACAAATTATTTTAAAATCTATTTTCCAAAGCTATTAGTAAAACAAACAGAATTATAATATAATAATTATAATATAATAACTTACCATAGTAATTATGATTTAAGTAGTTTGGATTTTGATAAATAACATGTTACTGCATAAGAATTTCATATTCTAATAGATTACTGCACCTGCCTTCTATTTATTAGATAGTCACAAAAATCTACATAATATAATGTACACTCTAGTTTAGCACTTAAAATGGGTAGTAATGAAAATGCTCTCACTGAAGTTACTGTGTATGTCATGTTATCAAATAAAGACAAAGTTTAGTCCAGGCGCATCTCCATTAAATTATACCAGGGAGGAATTTGATTTAATATATTTATCAATAAGGATACAATCCCACTCCTATTGGTAAGGAATACTGAACCAGGCCTTTAACATTTTCTTTGTCACTCATTTGCTACTTTTCCTAAAGTGGAAAAAGGCCACTTTACTCTTCTACAGCAGCTTGATAATGTTATATATTCACTGATACGCCGTAGAGTTATGCCAGTGTAACACTGATATAATATAACAGAGTGGAGAATCAATCAATCTTAGTGGATATTTGACAACCACCAATTCAGTGGCTGATTTTACACACCATATGTGAAATCTTCTAATCTTTAGGTTAAAAGATCTCTCTAGACCAGAATATTTAAACCTTCCTTTGTCTGAATATGCTACTTACTCAAAGAAAGAGCTAAAATCTTTCTTGAATGTGTGAAGTTTAAATCAAAGATTACTAAATTTAATCCACTGACTATAATATGACGTGAATAAGAACCACAGAATCTGACCCCATATATTATTATATGTGCTACACTAGCTAGGTTTAACGGGGTAAGTTTTTAAAAAAATCAGCCTTATATTTGAATATCTTTAGTTTTCTCTGATTTATCTTACTTTTGTTAATTTTGAAACTGATCTTTCTCACTGTTTTCATATATATTTATTCATGTGAGTATTTTATTTAGAAAAAGCAAAAGAAATTAAAACCATGCAGGACATTATTTGATGTGGCAGTCACATACAGGAACTTGAAACTGTATCTATCTTACTGTGAAGAATACAATTTCATACATGGTTCCATTTCCCTTTACATTGCATATTATTGAACTATCCGGTATATTGCTTACCTTTCTTAAGGCCACATTGTTGTTCAAGCAACATTTTGATGCTACAGGAATCATTCTTTGTGCACAGACCGCTTTTAAGTTTTGGATACTGATTAGCTAAGAACTGTATGACTTTATTGCAGACAACAGAATCTTTTGCTTTGCAGCTGTTACCTAGATTTCATAGACAAGAATATAACTTTATTAATGTTTATTAATGCTTAGGGGATAAGGCTATAAAAACAATTAAATTATAGTACAAGAATAAAATCTTTAGCCAAGGAAAGATGGTTTGATTTTGCTTTGCTTTAAAAGGTATGATAATTCACAACATAAGCATTGTGTTTGGTATGATATAATAAAGATGTGGGTAAAATTTTGCCTTTAGTTTTAGCCATGTATGTTTTGAACCACATCCAGCTGTCTGTTTTAAGTTGTTCTCATTTCAAGAGAACATAACCTGTTTCTAATAATTACTTTGGACAGAAATTAAACATACTTTGGTCATTTTTGGCTAATAAGCATGGCACACCTATTGGATCACACCTGGTTTATTGATATGTTAACAATGATGTAAGCTAATATAGACCTCTGCGCTGGTTCCAAACAATTAAAAAGACCACCATGGAAGGACACTCTATGGAAGAAAGTAGCTGCAACTTAAGGCTATACTAGACATAGAGGAAAGAGACTATAGGGAACCAGCATTGATTAAAAATGGACATTCAACTTTGGTCAGTTCAGCCAAGGGACACAAATATACAGATATTCCCCTCAAAGACTACTGCAAATGGGACTTCAAAGGATCCTTGGATCTAAAAATAAAACACCCATTTAAAAAAAGAAAAAGCATACACTATCATAACATGTTGACGAGCACAACATGAGGCAGATGATAACCCAGGCCTTTTACATGGTAAGACCCATGGTGTTTAGGCATTCAAGTATAGATTCACTTTACAAACCTGGCTGCTAACTGCTTGAGGACTATGTAATTTTGTTAGCATGTTCAAATATGACTCATTGACTTTTTAAAATCTTTATTGATTCCTCAATAAAATAGGCTTGCACCCACTCTGAGATCACTTTTCTCTCTCCAGATTAAAACTGTCATGAAAACTGTGCTCGTCAGGAATAAGTTAACTGTGGATGACAAGTATGACATCTGCAGGTGAAGAAAACAGAGGTCAGAATCCAATTTAATCTTGTGGAAGACCAAAGCACAGCTTGAGACTCACTCCAGTGATGACATGTAGGGGGCAGGCACCCCCTGAGTGGCGACATGTAGCCACATGCACCCCCTGAGACCACTGGTACACCCCCTGTGAGCACTGGCTGGGGAGTGGGAGCACCAGATATAGGCTGCAGCCACTTCCAGAAGTGCCATGGGCACTTTCAGGAGCAGCATGGCCACTTCTGGAAGCACCACAGCTGCTTTCAGAAGTAGTGCGGCCACTTACCGGTTAGTAAGTTTTGCCGCAGCCCCCTCCCCCCCGCAGTCAGTGAGATTGGCTGTGAGGGACCTCCCGCCCCGCAATTGCTGACTGCTCACTGGGGGCGCACATGCCTTTCCTGACTAAGGTGGCACCAGTCACCCATGACTCACTCTGAGTTACACCACTGAAGTGTAAGAGTAATTCTATTACCCATTCTGGGCATATCTACACAAGACATTTGTTGAGGAGTTGCCTAATTAGCTCTCTAATAAAGTTTCAGTGTTTATATGTGCAGGGTGCAGTAAACTAAAAAATACTGCCATAGGTTAGTATTTGTAAACACAAGTACTATCTTGCAGCAGCATTATATAGGGTGCCATAACACATGTGTAGATGGTGACTGGGGCTGGTTGGGACATAAGAATGCTTCAGTGTGGAGGCCACGTACCAGCTAGCCCCACATTGGAGCACCCTTGTGCCCCAGCCAGCCCCTCAACAACACATTGAGCTGGGTCGGAGCAGCTTGGGCTGGCAAGCTGACCCCCTGGGCCTTCTGACATTTGGGGCTGTTCTGAACCACAGTGGCCATGCATGGGGGGTGCACAGGCATGCACTTACATCCCTGAGAGTGCTGGTGCACCCTCTGACTGGCTGTGCTCACCACTTAGGTGATGGGTAGGGAGGGCAGGTGACAGCACCAATGCCCCCTCTGCAAGTGCCAGCTGATCACTGCAACCACTTCAGCCACTTCCAGGAGTTTCTGTGGCTGTTTCTGGGAGTGGCTGCAGTGATCAGCCAAT